ACTCGGACTGGAAAACAAAAAAAAAACATGTCGATTCAGGACTCTCTCGACAGAGTCTGGTGGTCAAAGTTATTCGAAAAATATTTCGAACATAAATATTCAAGTGAGGAGTCACGCAGTCAATACACCTTGTTATCCGTTGGCAAAACTACTTTTAAATCTCCCGACATACGTAAATATCTTTTCAATTGCAACAAATCGAGTTGCTGTATGAGGAGAGCAAAAAAAAGTTTCGCGTTCGTAGAGAAAATTTCTATGGCCCGATCTAGCATAAAATGGGTCACGATGTACCAAGCAGCATCAATACATTCGAGTTTTGTCGTCGACGTCGACGTTGTCGTTGGACTTTTTTTTACTTGTACACAACACGTACATTTATATATGGCCGGTTCTTAGTGAAATCGAATAACCAAAAAAAATTTTTTCATTTTCGATATTCTCGGATTTTTCATGAATGTTAGATTCAGTAGCCTACAACATAAATTTCGAAGATATTAATTGACATTGCAAGGAATTTCTATGAATTCTTTGGTGATGAAAGATCGATTAGAATTCGACGAACATATTTTTTAAAATAGGTTGAACAATTTCCAGCAAAAAAAGCTCTTTAGCCCTGTTTTTTCTACGTTCGCTCTGGGTTGAGCTAGGAATTTTTGAAATATTAGTAATAACCATTAATTTATAGGAAAAATGCCAACTTCGGGGTTCGAAAAAAGTGACGTGCGGTCCAAAAAATTGCGATGAAATTTAGGAACATAGACAACGTAAAAATCATACGTTTTTTATGCCATCAGAAAAAAATTTTTTACATTTAATTTCACAGAGAATCATCCATATATAAATAAATATATAAAAAAACTCACCCCCCCCCCTCCTCCCCTACATACACATATTATATAATACAAGCCACTTCCTGCAACTACTCCATATAACCTTTTTTCTGCTGCTTTTATTTTTTTTAACTTTATTTTCTGCTTCGAATTGAAAAACTTTTCTCGACTTATGAAATGCATTTTTCAAAAGATGAGAGAAAAATGCGAGATTTAAAGGCGGACGGCTGCGCAGAATAGTAGTGGATGTACCATATCTATATATACGACGGACAGACGAGAGGTGCGCGGGGAGGACGAAATGAAAATTTATGTCGCTGAAAACGGAGAATATTTCAAAGTCTTATATTATGCGGAATTCCATAGTTGTAAATATTTTCCTTCATGAATCATTGAAATGGAAATTCTCTAGAATTTATTGTTGCAATTTCATATCGGATTCGGTACAAAACATTTGCATTTATAAAAAGAGCCATAGAGAAGCGGTAGAAACAACAACAACAACAACAACAACAACAACAACAACAACAGCAGCAGCAGCAGCAGCCGCAACGACGGCAGCGACAACGCTATATGCGCTGCGGCTTTTTTCTTCGAAATTGTTGAAAACAGAGCCAAAATTATCCGGCTGACAATTTATCGTCGCGTTATTTACCAGAGCATTAATTAAGCGAACGCAATAACGAGGATTACTTTCTGCGACTTTGCCGCGCGCGAAAGAATTACAATATCAGTTAACAACGATCGCACGTCGTAATTCCAAGCTGTACTACAGCTACCGCTGCTTTTGCTGCTGCTGCTGCTGCTGCTACCACAGGCCTACAAGCGAGTGACAAAAAAATCTTCAACTGCCTTGACGAGTTTTTTTTCCAACTCTTCGGTCGATGGACTCTGTCGACCGTTGGCAAGCGTCTCTCCGTGTGAGTATGTACGTGTGAGTATAAAATGTGCACAAACTCACGTAATGTATAACACACATGACAAGCTGAGCACACATAGGCTAAACTGGGTTAACGTTGCTTTTGCGCGCGATGTTAACTTGTCTCCGGTTATTTTACCTTCGTCTCTTACTTGGCTTGTCCGAACGAATTGTTTTAGCTCTCGGGGCTATTAATTTCGTTGTTTTGTTATAAGCGCTGGCCTTTATCAACAAAAGCCGGGCTCACATGGGCTGGCAGGCATGTCGCTTTTTAAACTGCGAGCACACGCAAAAGTCGCGACTATTATTAATCGCTACTTTGTTATACACCGGCGTTTAGATATTTACGACTATGTATGAACGTAATAATTGTTTATGCGGTCTGCGATTACGAGGGCTGTGGTTTTGCGGTAAGACGCACGCGGGGGCTGCTCATGCTGCTTTTGCTTTTGATGCGCTCGACGTCACGTCACATTCGACGCGAAATCATCCGATCTCTCTCTCTCTCAAATTATTTACTCGCGGCGACTCAGTGTATGCGTCATTTTTGTCCAGCGCGAACCGTTAACTTGTACCAAGCAGCAAAGTAAGATTCAATTTGAAACGCCGTTGGTAAAAATTTGTTTATTGCGCCATCAACGACCATAATGAAAGACAGAAATGCGCACGGCGTTTCGAAATGATAGAAACTGAACAAGAAAAAATCAAAAGTTGAAAGGGGAGAAACCAAACTTGCCAAAAGTTCAATAATTAATTCTAAAGATTTTTCATCAGTAATTTTTCCTTTATTCCACTCTGGGCATTCATCATTACTCTTTGTCGAGCTTTTCAATTTGCATACGCTTTAGTTTGTCTTTCACTCTCGAGTCATTTCTTATTCGAATCACTTCTCTTAAATTTGATTACCAACGGAGAGTTTGCAACGATCAATACTTATGTTGCTTGTATAGCAGCATGTACACCTCGAAAGTCGGCATGTATACATAAGCAGTGATTCTCATTCCGAGCGTATACACGAGCGCGCAGAGAGGTGTATACGGAATATATTGCAAGGGGGGAACTTGAAAACAACGTCAGAGGAAACATTTAAAAAAATTAAATAAAGTACGAAATCGGTCATCGTAAGTGGATAACGCAGCAAAGCGCGTCCAAGACAGCCAATCGAATTTATTTCCATTTGCAACGACCAAAAGCAGCAGTAGCAGGAGCTTTAATTTCTCCTTCTCTCCCCCCCCCCCTCCCTCCCCCAGTCCCCTTACCTCCCCCGCGCTTGGCCCCATCAACCTATGTACTCTCATTTTGCTCAACTCAACTCTCTTTCTCTTTCCTTCAATATACTTTTTATGTTCTTTCAATCTACGTTTATTCAGCCCCATTTATGGGGCCATACACCGAGGCTCGCTTTTCATTTTGTTTCGTTCGCCGCGCGTCGTGCAAACTGCAGTTTATATGTTGCGTACCACACACACAGACACATACACAACATAACACGGTGGCTGCTGCTATGTTGCTCGATGGAAAAACGCATACATATATGGGTACACTTATATGTATAATAGAAGCTGCGCTCGCCGGTATGATATAGCGATGCCAAGAAGTATATAGGAAACGATGCGAAAATATGAAACGGTGGAAATAATGCGCACGCAGAAACTTTAAAAATATACATGCACGTGCACACACAAGCAGATATATGGCGCGAATAAATATGGAAATAAATTATAGACAATATGCAGCACACATTTGCTAGAATAAATACTTTTGCATATGTATAAGCTGGACACTATTTTGCGTTTTCTTTATCCCCCCTCTCTTTCTCTCTTTCTCTCTCTCTCTCTCTCTCTCTCTCTCTCTCTCTTGCTTCTCTTCTATTTTAACGAGAAGAAACGCGAGCGACGACGAATACAATTTTTTTAAATATTTGCAGTTCTTAAGATTATTTATACGAGGCTGTTATCTCGTTAATGATTGTTTTACACAGACTAGCCTTAAGTAAGGGAAAAAATTATTGCTCTCTATATTTTACTTTTATGGATTAGCAGAATTTATCTTCGAAAGAATGGTTACATACGCTCCAAATCTCGTACTCGCTAATTTCATTTTTAAACCTAGCGAATAGCGAATCAGTTGAACGTAGAAATAGGATGGAAAAATACGCAGTACCGGACTTAGTAGACACATTCTCAAAAGAAAAGAATTCGAATGATGTTGATCGAGTGCAAGGTGGATGTATCGTCACGGCTAAAAGAGATGATTCATCAAAAAAACCAATGAAAAGGTTCTTTAGGTGCATCTATTCGCGAAACAAAATTTGATTTTTCCAAAGGTCGCTCTTTGAGTGCTCGACACTCGACAGTATAGCGCGTGCGAACAACGTGGCACTTTCAAAAGAGAGAGAGAGAGAGAGACTGCTGATACTGCGAGCGCATAAGAGGCGAGGGTTAATTATTTCTCTCTTTTTCGTACGAATAAAAGAGTGCTCTCCTTTTTATTTTTTGTCGGGCTCGTTCGGATTCCTCAAATTAATTATGACGTGGCGTGTGTTTCTGCTTTGGCAACATCATGTATAAGACTTGAAATCCGGTTGAAAATTCGTCGGCCTCGCTGCAGCTTGTCACCCGCTTCGCAAAGGCAGTCTGCGATGACGTTTAGCGGAAAAATCGTGATAAATGAAAATATTCCATTATACGATTGCGAGCTCGAGTCGGTATACATATATAAGTAATCTCGCGAAAGCAGCGACACGCGCGTTACGATATCCTTGCGCGGCTATTGCTCTCCACGGGCGAAGACGCGTGTACATAGACTGCAGCACCGGCTCGGCTCGCTCCAGCGTGACGATCCATATGTACACGCGTGGAGCATAAGTCAGAGGCACCGAGAGATCAATATTCGAGTAACACTATTACATGAAGGCATAACTTTTGCAACCTATGCAGTAGTGCAGGCCGCTCTTCGTTTGCATACCGATACGAGTATGAATTTGCGCGCGTCTGTGCGCATAAACGGAAACCCAAGAGCGGAGATTGCTTTTACCTCGACCTCCCTCCCCCCCGGTCTCCCTCCTTTATCCTGCCCTTCCTCTCTCGCCCTCCATCTCTGCGCAGCTCTTGCTGTATCGCGTTTACGTATTACCGTTGTTTACGGACAATTATCTTCTGTGATAACTCGGCGCATCGTTTCATCTCGCTCGGGTTTTGGAGACAATTTCGAAAAAATCCAACCGATATGACTTAGTAAGTCAGACTTACCGTGCTTTTGTAGCTGTAAGGATCAAAGCCCCTCGAGGAATCACCATCGCTGAATGAGTAGCTGTTGTCGATGCTATCTCTTCTTTTCTTTTCGTCTCCTGTGAAATTAAAAGTTCAAAAAGATTATTATTATTATTATTTTTGTTGGAAATATTATATATGCAGCTCACTTTACCGCATTATTATAAAATTACATGAAAAGTATTACTGAAAAGTATTGTTAAAGGAGCGCACGCGAACAATCCAATTTAATATTTTCTGCAAAGAGAAAACAATGCTTTTGATGACTCAATTTATATAGCGGATCAATAAAACGTCATTCAAAAAATAAAAGATCGGCATAGCCTTCTCCTCTGGTACTATTGATTTTCTCAAGTCGTATGAAAAACCTTTGTTATTTCTAGACTGAAATTGTTTCACAATTCACAAGTCGACATTAAAAATAAACTTTAAACTTTTTAAATTTTAAACAATCCAATTTCGACTCGCTTTTATTCAATTAAGGCGTACAATCTTCATATCAAACTCCATAGATTCAGTACATTCTCATCGCTTATTTAGTATTATACGTTCCATCGATCTCGATGTTATGATAGGGCGAAATTCTAAACTGCGCAAATGAAACGTTCTAGTCTTAGGCGAGAGAATCACGAACGTAACAGCAGCAGAAGCTATCTAAGCCATGATTCGCAGAAGCAATGAAAATCAAATATAATTAACCGCTCCTATCTCTAAATTGCATATTGTTCTCTCTCCCTCGGTCGAATCATTAGTTATTTTTTTAATTAAAAATGTAAATTATCCATGCAGTTAGAGGCAGCAGTACAAAGGCTCGGAACTGAGCACATAACGTTCCTCCGCGCTGATTAAACTTTTTCACGACGTCATATTATTATAGAGAAGTGAGATGTGTATTTCGTCCATATAATACACTGCACTTAAACACGCATTCTTCTATAAAATCTTATTTCAACTAGCTCTGAAAACAAGTTTTTAATTTTGAAACAACTTTTCGCGTTTTAATGTTAGAGGGCAAAGTTTTGATTACATACATACCAGGAGCATGGGGAGGAGGAAGGCTAGGGGGTAGGGGCGAGGTTGAGAGGGAAAAGTTTTACTATACATAACCAATTTAATGTCAAAAAACATAAAGTTTTGATGTAGAACGGTCTTATATTCGTGATCTGTAGCTATTAAATTTTTATGCGAGTAAGTTGCTTATAACTCGAGCTCTTTTTCTCTTTCTCTCTCTCTCTCTCTCTCTCTCTCTCTCGCGCACTGAAAGCTCAATTTTATTTTCTTTGTTCAAATAAAACAAAATATATATAAGCTTGAAAAAAAGTACTTTTCGATTGGATTCGACTATAATTTTTGTAAAAAAGAAGAAAAAAACAAAACATCATAAAATCCAGCTAAAATTAAGAGCGTCATCAAAAGCTCTGTACAATTGATGACCAATATTTTCTATTAATAAATGTAAATGAAGCATCCTATACATTCGATCAATGTCATTTATGGGACATTTCTTTGTATACGTGTCCGGTATTCAAGCGAAAACGTAAGTCAGACGCGCATGATGCATGTGTGCTAGAGTGTTGGTGTTACGTATTTGTGTGTGTGCAAAATGGTTGTTGTACAATCTACAATAATTTTCACCAGAGAGACTCTATTAATGAAATGCGAGTGTGTGTTTGTGTCTGCGATTCTTCTCTGTGACTCGGAGTGTTTTTGTGTGGGTCATGCAATAAACATCTACAATGCATAACCTACATTTCCGTAATCAGGAGAATGTGAAATGAAAAGCCATTTGAATTATTGATTCGCGTATTCTTTTGTTTAGAAAATACACACATGATGCTGAAAACTTTATATCCGTACACGACGATGAATGCATGAAAAAGAAAAAAAGGAAAAACAGAAAAGATCTCAAACTTTCGAGCAGTAAAAGTAAAACTAACACGCCAACTTTTGTATAGAATATATTAATCATGCAAGCGCATTGAGATGAAAATATGCGATGAAACTTTTTTTCTTCCATTCTCGACAACGCGATAATTGAGTATTCCTCCCACCCTCGAAACTCGTGCCACAGCACTGCGAGCGATTTCATTGGAGAAAATCGATGCTTAGATATGCATTAAGAATTGATAATGTTATTTCACAGAATTTATATCGCCTCAAATGCGGCGCAGCCTTAAAAAAAATAAAATAAAAACATTCCCGCAAGTTTAGCGCGTGACAGCTTTAATTTAGTTTCACAGCTAAATTACAGTTCAACCGTTTTCATTGTACATTGCAGCTCGTAAGAATATGGAGAAGGAGAGAGAAAAAGGAAAGAGAGAGAGAGAGAGAGAGAGAGAGAGAGAGAGGGAAGACATATATGACAGTGAAACACTATTATTTTAGTGTATAATAGTTGAGAAACACTGTGTATGTGTGTGTGCTGTTCTCGTCTGTTTCAGTGCTCTCTAAAGATATTCGTCCGCAAATTGAACAGAAAATCAATGCTTTGAAGAGGGGCTTGACTGTATACTTAAGAGACATACATTTTTTCTCCTCTCCCTCCTTTCATCCAATCTTCCTTCTCCCTCGCATCTATTTCAAAGAAAAAAAAAACAAATTAAAAGTTTTTGTCTCCTGCATGAAAAGCGACACGAATATGTTTTTCAGTCGCGCAGACTTGATAACAAATCAATGTTGCGTTTAGCTGAATTTTTCAATTGTACTTGTCATTGATACATATATTAAAGATAACAGAGACTAATTCTTGATTTTGAAATAAGTGTTCTTTTCCTGTTCTTTATATTCTACGTACGATCGCTCGGAATTGATCATTTCGCTACTGGATCATTCGAATTATTCTGCACTTAAAATGTTTTATGTATCAAATGAAATATTCCACTCGAGAGCCTCGAGTTGAGTAAGTTGAAAAAACTGCATGGAATGGCGAGCAGAAGAGAGAGAAAAAAAGGAAGTAGAGGGAGAGCGAAAGAGAGAGAGAGAGAGAGAGAGAGAAAAGCTCCTGCAACATTTAACACGGTTTTTTGAAAATTGCCAAGTAAAAAGAAAGAGAGATGAAACTATGAGGCAAAGAACGGCACACACATATATACACATCGAATAGCGCGCGTGACACGAAGCACACACGCGGTCATTCACGTGTTTCTGTCTCCTTTTTTTACCTCGTTTCTTCTCCGTTTTTCCCTTGGTTAACGCTTTACCGGTCAGAGAGCCAGAGTAGGGAGAACTCGCGTATATAGATATATGTACAAGGACTTACACGACTTTTTGCCGGCCGAACCAAGTTATAGAAATACGAAATTTTGCGATAAAAATTCTGGAACATGCGACATCATTAATTCCACTTTCAGTTCTTTTTTTCATTTTTTCTTTTTCCTTTTTTTTTAACATTACCATAAGCGACATTTTGCATTCGATCGTAATCGTGTTGTGCAACGCGAAAATAAATCAGCGAATTCGCAAAACTAAGTAGAAAAGTCGCATAATAGCCGAGCTACTGCTGCTTTACTGGAAACTGTCATTATTTTCGCGCAGTTTTTATAACGGTATCTGACGAATGAATGAGAAACAGAGAGAGTTGATGTGCAATGCAGAGACAATAACAGTTTTTTCTTGCAAAACTCGATATATAAATAAACGTCGGGGATAATGGATAAACCGGGGAAATAAAAAAAATATTCATACTCGAAAATAATAAAGTGAATCGCTTTTAGAGCAAGTTTTACAACTTCCCGAGCGGTTATTAAAATCGTTTATTTCCATCGCCAGGCCATTTTTAATGTATTTGAAGAAATGATCGACGAGAAAATTTTTCTTCGCCGATGAGTGAATGAGAAAAAAAATCGTTATAAAGGTAGACGCACAGAAATGCGTCGAATTATTGCAGGAATCGGCGGTGCAGACTGTAAGTTTGAAATTACTCAACTTCCATTCTCTGCGTGTTATAATATACGTCTACTGTATGTACACACGCGCACATTTTACATAAACGTTGCGCAATTTAACTGCCTCTGTGCTACATCCTAGCTGTACGCCGCATAGATATGGCACACATGTACGCACTCGCACACACACACACACAAACACGCATACATGGACGTGCACACGAGTGCAACATAGACACGCGTAATCGAACGTTCAACTTAGCATAATCAAGCAACAAGATGTGTGCGGCAGCAGTGTAATAACGGAACATCGTCATCATTCAGCCGGAAGATGTCCATATAAATACGTGCACAGACACAAACGTATGCCGTATACCTATAATACGCCGTGTATAACGAAGCACGCACATACATGCACATAAGCGCGTAATCGACGTCGGTGAAACGATCGGACAAGATAAGGATTTATTAAAAGGCTGCCCGAGACTCATCGTTTCCGCAAAAAAAAAAGTCCGGCATCGGTCGAGACGGAGCTTTTAAAGGCAAATAATAAAATACAGTGGAGATGTTTGATTTACCAAAGAGACTAATGGCTATTGCACCGACGATGCCGTCTGTGCTCATTCTGGATGCTGCAGATGCTGTCCTGATGCTGCTGCGCTTACAATACACGCCTGCGAAGCGACTGGTTTTTGTTTTCTGTCGATTCTGTCGCACTCTGCCTCGGTATGCGTGCCTCGAAAAATCCTAGTTCGAATATCTGCACAATTACACTTTTTCAGAGAGAACAGGATTTGTGGAAAAAAACCAATTCGGTGTTCGATATTGCAGCTTGTCTAGCTTGCACTGATCACCAAAACTCCGAACTCAACCGAACACGCACTTTTTCTGTAATCTCAGTAATCACTAGTTAATCACTCGTTTTTATTTCTCAACTTAGCACTGCGTCGAGCTTTCGTCGAATGTTGAAATCTCACAATCGTCGAACTTTGAAGAAAACGTTTAAACTGCAAATGTCCATTGGTTCAAGCCAAAAAAGCACGTGCTTAACGCCAAGAGAGAGAGAGAGCGCGAAAGAGCACGAGAGAGCGAGAAAGAGAGAGATGGATTTATGGGTACAAGAGGGGGATGGTTAAAAGCTGTGCGAGGGTGAAAGGAGGGGGACCAGAGGACGAAAGAGAAGGTAGCACAAATAATAAGGTAGCACTGGCAGTAGCTATATAACAGCAGCTGCTGCGGCAGCGCAGCGGGTTAAAGGTCGTTTAAAGGCGCACACAATCAAGACACGCACAAGTACAGAAGATAGAGGCGAGAGGAAGAAGTGTCAGGCGAACGAGTAGACTGCGCGGCGTTGAAAGAGAGCAAAATCTGCGCCGAACGCAGAGCTGCAGGCGGTCACACGATGCGAGCGCGTCGATAAAAGTCGATCGGCAACAATCCGCACGCACAATATACCTTCGAGTGTGTGTGTATATATATAAGATAGATAGATATATACGTAAATAACAGAACGCGACAATGACAGGAATGACAAGTGTCGGATCCGAAGAACTGCAGACGAGCAGATGCAGCGCAGCGTCGAGCTCGAGTTGAAAAACAACACAGCGGCGAGTCACGAGGTGGCGTGCGAACTCGCTTAGTGCCGTAGGTGCAGTGCGCTGCCAAGAGCCGGCTCGTTCAAGCGCGTTTTCTCTCTCTCTCTTTCTCTCTCTTTCGCTCGCTCGCTCGCTCGCTCACTCTCGCACTCGATCGGCCTCCCTCTCGCCACGTCCCTCTGCATGCCTCACCTCGGCTGCGTGCAAAGAGGCGCGCGTGGAACTGTGCAGAATGGAGTTGCGCGCAAACTCTCGCTATATGCCAGTCTACCCCCACCACGGCTCCTCCGTCTCTCGAGCTCTACTGTCGTCTATATATCCCCCAAGTGATGTTGTACTACACAACTACGCGCGTCTCTATACACATCTTCGCGACGCGACATGCCACCGGGCTCCGCGGCGGCTCACGGCCACGAGGCTGGCAGCTCCATGTCGAATTACGATGCCGAGACCGTACATGCACGAGACTGGAGAAAACATATAATATCTGATATCTCGAGAGCTTTTTTCCCCTGTTGACTCTTTCCCCCGCGCCCAGAGGCCCTATATATCCGAGAACTGAGGTTAGGCAAATTTAAGAGACTCATAAGCCATCCGCACGCTTTGCAAAAGTATAAATTGTTTTGCTCCGCGCAAAAGTATGAAGGAACTTTTTTCATTAAGCTCGAGCTCGAGCTTTCCGCGATTACTCGACGTCGTATTTTGAGCTTTTTACAACTACGATCGAACTAGAATCCACGACGAACTTAAACGGCTTTAAATTTGTTTTGCTGCTGATGCTACGAACGTACGTCAAATCAATCACTGACAAATGACGTAGATAAATTTTCAAATCGCGCGACAATAAATTTAGCCGCCGGAAGCCGAAATAAAGCGAACGCGTATTACACGAGAGAAAGAGGCGAAATAATCGATAGCTCGAAAAGTCGGGCCACAAGCCACATACGGCCGTAAGCGCGAAAAAGATAAAAAATTTCGAGTAGCAGCTCGACGCGTGAAACTTATCACACAAACACACATATCTGCACGCATACAGATACGCGGCGCTAGCTCGTGTGTGCGCGAGTTGCAGTAAAAGCCGAGTCCAATGGAAGACACGTACATTTGTATGCGCTCGCGAATTTGTACGTGTGCGAGCGCGTGAGTGTTAGCTAGAGAGAGAGAGAAAGAGAGCGAGTGAGCAAATAGTATATACGTATAGGACGTACGCTAAAAGCGAGCGAGAGTTTCTAACAGTAATACTTTATACCGACTGAATTCCATTGAGCTGTAAAACGTATATATTTGAGAACTGGGGCGTGTAGCATTAGACTTTTGCTTGTTCGATTGTGCATACTTACATAGAGAAAAAGATACAAAAGCGAGAAAGTCGCGCGCTACCTACTGCAATTTTTCAAATCATCCTTCTATTATTTTTACCTTGAGTCAACTCACGCCCATCAAGTCTCAAGAAATTCAAGGCTTCGACAAATGAATAAACATTACAAAAGAAATTATATTATTTTAAAATATAACTTTGAGAAAGTTGAGGCGTTTCGATTAAAATTGAGTGCAAGTTTGAAATGATACGAGCGTACATAGTGACAAATATGTTTGCAATACGAGAAAATGACTGCGAGTCTTGGAAATAAATAAAAAGGGTCATGCATTTTTTCAAACAAGGAAAATAATAGCAAAGGTACAAGCCATGTATAATGCGCGTGTCCCAATAGTTGAACAAGATTAAAGAATCGCCTTTTCGAGCGAATAAAGTTCGAGAGATCTATTTGCATCGAATACACCTAAAATACCATATTTTTGCTTCTTTTCTCGAGATAGCACGTTTCTAATCCAAGCCAACGACACACTTGGCCCCAAAGTGGGTCGAGAAACGCGAGAAAAGATAAAAATAAACGGCAAGAAAATTCGTATGGAAGCTACAAATTTTCGCTCATGCACACTGCATAATCTGTAATTAAACGACAAACGCGAACGTTGACTTACGCAAATTGCATTTAAGAAACGCTTGACAATCTCTCATTAAAGCGTTTCACAAGGACGCATCGGTTTGACATTTTCTCTTTTATTTTCAATTTCAACAATGATTATAATGCCTTGGCATTTACTGTTGTCGATTTATACGACTTTCAGATAAGTTCCAACCAAATCGCCTGAAAATGAGAAAAAAAACTGACAAATTTTCGAGTAGTGCACGTAATCCTCGCATCATTACTTTTCCTCCTATACAACGGGAACTGTAGTAGTTTTTTGCGCGGAGAAAAAGTACAAGCTTTTGCCTGTACAGAAAAAAATGCGTTTCACGAGAAGAAAAATGAACTGTTTAAAACATGTTCATTTTTCTTCATCGATGATTGACTGCGCTCCGGGAAATCTTTATTTGCCCTCGCGAGACATGCGTAATACACCATTATGCTGTATAAAAATGTAAAAATCGATTCGTATCAGCGTGTTAAAATCAAATGCAATTTTTTACCGGATGCCGTGAAATTTTACTTTTTTGCACGGTAGCATAAAAACAAGTAACTTTCCAACGAAATATGCTCGTGGCATTACATAAAAAGAACAAAAATATGTTTCTCTTTTTTTAAAAAAAAACTAAAAGCAAGTCGTCAAAAGCAGTGAAAAACTTGTGAAAAAAATGAGCATAAAGCACGCAGGAACGACGTCGTGGTAGCACAGACGAATGTGTATCATTTCGACCTACATAATGTTCAATATAGAAATAGTCGTTAAATGGCATTACATTGAAGTTTCCTGCATATAAATTACACATCAAAAACTCATCGAGTCGTGCGCATGTAGGAAAACATATAGGACGATGCGTATAAGTAGACGTGCGCGAGCAGAAAACAGTGCGGTAGAGCTCGACGGACGTTAATGCAGACTGCACGACGTCGACGTCGACGACGAGGGGCTACGGGCGTCGTTGAAATAACAAACTCATTGTTGTCCGCGAGCACGAGCTTGCGCACGTGTGCAAGCCGTCTCTCTCTGTATTCGATGTGTGTAACTTATACATTATAAACTAACTTGTTATGCGTTTATGCATAATACGCGTATGTACACGCGCGGCTATCTATACACACATGCCGACCGAGAGAAGCGTCGTTACGTATTACCGAAAATAAATCCAAAATATATATTTATGAAAACAAAGTCTAATCGAGAGCTGCTGTCCCCCTTCATGAAATCGTACATCTGTCCAAATGCACAGGAGCGATGTGCACGGCCGCAGTGCATCAACCTGGAGCGAGCATGTGATCCTCGCGGTCGCTCAATTCCCAATGCGCAAAACGCGAGGCATGCTCGATTTCTCAACGATAACAAATCATTCGCGCGAAATGACTTTTCGACGAGCGACCGCAGAGAGCCTCGTAATGTTGACGAAGAAAAGTAGCTGCAGCAAAGGAAAAAGAATGAGAAAACTATTATCGTCGTTTCGAGTACACACGAGTCGAGACTCGAGAGGGAGAGAGGATGCCGATGAATTTGTGTTATGCGACTTAGAATTCCGATATGTGCATGTGTGTACGTGTACATACCGCGCTGTGCGCGACGTCGTAATATAGCAGAAAACTTTCCAAACTCATATGGGTTTCGCAATCTCATTGCCTCGAGTTACATGCTCTATACTCAAATTGGATGTTCTTATGGATGCGCGTGCCGCCAGATATTTGCATTGCAATTTCTCAGATATATGCTCTTTCTTTGCCATCAAGTGTAACTGACATATTATTGATTTTCGGTCGAGCTTTTTTCTCTATTCCTATGCCGCTCTGCTCTCGAGTACTCGCGCCTCCGTACAAAGTGCATTTGAACGAGTTGCATTACACGCTCGGCGCGCACAAACACACACGCACGCACTTGTAACGACACGCATGATAATGGTTGCTGGTACGTACACGAGCGTACACGACTTTCCTTGGCCACTGACAGCGCGAAGCCTCGTGGCTAGAGTTTCTTTTTTACCTGCAGCTGTACGAGCTCGCGATAAGCGCGTTATATTATGCGCCCGATAAAAATCTTGGCGAAAACATTTGTTAGCTTTTTATGTACGCGAGAAAAAAGCTGAATGGGATAGGCCATTGTTTGCTTTCAAACAATTGCGTGAAGTTGGGAAGCGCTGACGGGAAAATGTCCCATTATTCGTGCATGAGCGTGTGCATCGCAGACACATATCGCTCGAGATGCCACAGATTTTTGGTTCTTTCCTCTGTTTTTTTTTCTTCATTTTTTAATTAAAACCCGATGCACAGTCGTGTGTCGGCAATTATGCATAGCTACGACCCTGACTGCAGATTCGGAACGCGGAGCCGAGCAAAGTTACGAGAGAACACGACGATGGTCGAGTTAAAGGACCGCAGCGAGACGCAGACACGTCTAGTTGTATCGTATATAGATATAGACATATAGTAGTTGTATATATACGTGTAGAGGAGCCGAGAGGAGCCGTATAAAGCAAAGGCGGCGTCGGCGAAATGCCTGTGGCGCTCGGCTAAGCCACGCGAGAGCGAGAGGCAACGGCGACGGCGTATCTATATAGTTATAAAGGATATAAAGAAGCAAAGCCCGTTTTCCTCGTCGGCAGCGAGTGCTCGAGTGCCGGCACGCCGGAGCGTATACTCGCCTTGGCTCTTTGGGTCTCTCGGTCAAGGCCATCACCAGCATCGTATATATATAAGATACATATACACACACGTATATATAATAGGCTGGCGTCGCCGTCGCACACACCAGCCGCAGCCGAGCTCTCTCTCTCTCTCTCAGCTCTTACATTTATGTAAGTCTGTGCACCGGCACGCGAGCAAAGAGATGCGGAGTCGTTGAGTTTATATCTTGATACACCGCCTCGAGCGCGTGCCGAGTGTCGGGCAGCCCCCCGTGATGTTGTGTATACGTGCGCGAATGTATACATGTATTACGCTGCTGCTCCGCATGCAATATAAATTATATACACAAACGCATACAACTCCCGTCGTACGTGCCATTGCCCTCTTATTGCGGCGCGGCTGCATCATAGACTCGAGCGCGCCATTT